TACATTTAAGTTTTCCGCACTCTCGCGGAAATATCTCCGCAATGGAGCGAGCTTAAGTTTCACTTTTGATTGCATGATATAGCCCAGCACAACACCTTCATCACACATGTGGCCACTTGTTTGTACCATTTTCAGGCGATTTGTAAAAAACGATGTGTTTTTGGATATTTGTGGAGTTAGGTGGTCCGCGAGTGTTTTTTTATTGGTTAAGTGGTCCTTGGTATGAAAAAGTTTGAGAAACACTGATCTAGATCAGTGGTTCCCAGCCTGTGGGGGGCCAGGCCTCAGATGATTTGAGGCCAAATATCATATTTAGACTTTTTTTATTTTTGTACATATAATTGTAACGCAATACATGATTGTCACTAAAAGCCTTGTCTCTACATTACAATGAAATATAAAAAATAATTGATTAATTAATTTGAATACAAATTCAAGTTAGTATTAAAGGCATAAAAAGACAGAAATGTATAATTCTTTCTTTAATAGAAATGTTTCTTCCGCCCGTAAAGTGTCAACACCAGGCTTTTCTGGATAAGCGCATTTTAAAAACATAGTCATTGTCCATGCCGGTTTCAGATTATTTGTCACAGTTGCTCCGATCAGATCGGTCTCCTCCATTTTGTAGATTATTTACGACTTTTGAATCCACATAAACACATCGGCAAAATCCAGTTTACTTTGAGCACGTGTTTTAAACAGTTTAATCCCTTTGTGAATTGTTTCCACTTGCGCCGTCCTTTAATTTCTTCATACAGCGGGAATCCAAATGAATTAATCCTGAGTCCAATAACCATCAAAGTCACTCCAATAGTGCTCCTTAATTACGCTTTCATCCTCCTTTAACAACATACTTCACATTCATCCAGTTTGTGACAGTAGTTGTAGCATTTTTGAGACTTTTAAAGTTTAATTACCGCTGTTGCGCCCCCCCTTGTGTGTGGGGGGGCGCAACTTCCAACAGGAGTCATTTGGGGGGGCTCTTGGGAAAAAATATTGGGAACCCCTGATCTAGATCCTCTGTCTGGAGCCAGTGAACTAGCGGGCCTTCTAGAATACCCTGGAACCGAGGGAAACTGAAAGAATACGCCCATTGGCTACAAATCAATATATGATTGGTTGATCAAACTGTCAGTCCGAACGTACGCTCTCATTCAGTGCAACGGCCAGGGCATTCGATCAAGGATGTAGAATACCTTGGTTGAAGGATATTCTACCCAGAGACCCAGAACAAGATCTGATTGGTTGCAAAACCACTGAAATGCGTAGTGCATGGTCCGAGAAGGACAAACAAATCAACGTAACACTGTAATATTACAGATCAACGTAACACGGATACCATTCTCATTTATTCATTTTACACACATCTTATCACATTTTATTTATATAATTAAATCGATTTTTTGTTTGTTTTATCTGAGGGTTCCAGGGTATTCTCTGAATACCTTGAAGGCCTTGACGGTTCGCCACTGTATTTTAATATCCTCTAGTATTTCTCCTTCAGCTCTGAAATGAGTGTATCATGGAAGGAAGATATCCATTGTTTGATAAATCAAATCAAATCAAATCAAGTTTTATTTATATAGCACATTTATAAACGATTTTTGGTCGAGCCAAAGTGCTGTACATATAATACAAATAGCCTACAGTAGAGACACTTTACAGCAAATACAACAGCACAGATTGTTCAGAATATCAGTATGAGAAAAACGACACCCTCTGTCCTTAGACCCTCACATCGTACAAGGAAACACTTCCAGAGAAAACCCACAGTTTAAGGGGAACATGGGAGAAACCTCAGGGAGAGCAACAGAGGAGGGATCCCTCTCCCAGGACGGACAGACGTGCAATAGATGCCGTGTGTAAATCGAAGAGATAATACATTTTACAGCATATAGACCGAATGTTAGGAAATGCATGTGTCTGTAATAAGAAGATGAATCCACGAGGATGTCCTCAATCCTGTGGGAGCCATCAGGGAAGCAGCATGACGAGACCCAAGGCAGGACCGCAGAGACAGGTTCAGCCACGACCCGAAGTCCACGACTTAATCCAGAACTCAGGATAGAGGATCCAAGACACAGGACTACAGCAAGAGGATCAGCCTCGACTCCGGATCCCGGCGTAGATATAGATACAAAACAAGAAAAAAGATTTGGCTGGGTTAATCGGAACAAGAGAATACACAGACACAGACAGAGAGGGAAAAGGTCATTGGATAAAAGTTATTCTTGATAACCCTCTAGAAAGATCTCATGAACTTCCCCACTCAATCTATCAAGACCCGAGCAGTTCTATTAGATATATAGGATAAGAAACAGAGATACCTATCTCTTCGTCAGATGCACTCCCCCCGATAAATATAGTATCTAGGTTTCAATCGTGTTAAGAGAATATGTTGGGCTGCGGTGAAACCAATGATAAGCATCCTTTTCTGATAGTTGAATAAATTGAGAGAACAACGTTTGGAGACCTGTTTTCTGATATCTCTCTCCACTCCAACATGAATCTGTTTTAAATTCAGACATGTTCCCATCCAACAGATAACCTCTCACTGTGTCAGCGTCTGTTCTTATGAGTGGAACATTTACTGCTATCATTGTGTTGTTTTGGTTTGAAGGGATTTACGGTGAAAACGGAGAAGGGTTATCTATTGGTTGTTCTGTCAATAAATGTCCTCCTTGACTCAGTTTTTATTTGTTTTCCACGTCTGACTTATTGTAGCTTTGCGTGTGTTTTACATTTCATATTCAGTTATGGCTGGACTGTAGAAGTTTGTGTTGCTTTAAATTCAGTGAGGTGAGATCATGACACGCAGCAGTTTTCCTCTTGAATGTTATCGTGTTATGATTAGTGATTTTGATCCAGGCATTATCCGGCCCCATGCTGCACGGCAACATAATTCCACACTGACCGCAGGAGCGTTTGGCAGTTGTATTTCCTTTTTCTCCAACCTTCTTAGTTTGCTTTCTTTTTCTCTCATCATTTATTTCCTGCGGTGAAGGAGGCACTGCATGTTGGTTTTGGCTCAGGTGGTGCTTTGGCCCCGAACACAGGGAGCTGCCAGACTCTCCTTGAGGTTTTTATGCAACTGCCACCATTTCTCCCTCCTGCTATACCACTTTTTTATTCTCCCTTCCTCCTCCTCCTCTCAGTCCTTCCCTCAATCCATATTTCCACTGACTTGCGGCCAATTCACAGCCATAAACCCAAGCAGATCACCATCATTTTAATGAGTAGACACACATCGTTTGGATAAATATTGGAACTGCATATTTGAACCTGTTTCAAAACTCCTTACTCCTTACTCTTGTACCAGCTGTGCTTTCTGTTCTCTCTTCTCTCCAACAGCCAGTTCAAAGAAACAACACTTTTTATCATTAAATAAAATGATATATGCTCTGAATGTTGTGTCAAATGTCCCAGACATATTGGAAATGGCTTTAAGGAGTTATATTTTTCGTGTCAAAGCTTGAAATTCCTCTTGTTAAAATACACTTCCTCTAAATGTCTTTATGTCATTCCTCTAAGGTTTGCTACCACATGGCTTCATATAAAGCTCAGCAGCCCAACAATGATTTGCAACCCTTAAGGCTCAGGTTGGTGTGTCCCGCACCGTCGATGCTTTACGGCACATTTTCACACCTCCCGCGGCCGATTCAACATGTTGCATCGGCCAAATAAATCACTGATTGGCTGTTGCCTCTTTTGAATGACGAATACACACTACCGCTGGTAAGGACAGTTATTGCCACTCGTCGAGTGAAGTCTTTGCGGTGTGTTCGTAGGCGGGCGCGTAGCCGACGCAGGCGACGTAGCGGACGTAAAAGTCAGGACGCCTTCGGTACGCGTTCTTTGGTCTCAGGTTGGTGTGTACACCAAACCTGAGACCAAAGAACGCGTACCGAAGGCGTCCTGACTTTTACGTCCGCTACGTCGCCTGCGTCGGCTACGCCGCCCGCCTACGAACACACCGCAAAGACTTCAGTCGACGAGTGGCAATAACTGTCCTTACCAGCGGTAGTGTGTATTCGTCATTCAAAAGAGGCAACAGCCAATCAGTGATTTATTTGGCCGATGCAACATGTTGAATCGGCCGCGGGAGGTGTGAAAATGTGCCGTAAAGCAACGACGGTGCGGGACACACCAACCTGAGTAGGGCGCCGTGAATGCCCGACTGCCTCTGACGGCCTCTGACTCCCAAAATCGGGAAGGTGTGTCAGGGCCTTTAAAAGCCCTTCTACTTATATACCAATCACCCATTCACCACATATTCACACCCTGTTGGCCATCGAGAGCTATTTGAGTTTCAGCTTCTTGCCCAAGGACACTTTGACATGTTGACTGAAGGCCAAACAACCGCCCCAATTGTTAGACAACCAGGAAAAGCCAAAAAAAAAGTACATTTGCAAGGACTGTATTTAACTTTTGATATGTGACATGCGGTTGGAACCATAGACTGGTTGGAGTACTCAAAGCTGAGGGAATATACAAGACAAGACAGAAGGAGGAATATGTCACCTTCAATCAGGAATACACATGGAAGCTGCGCGTTCCAGCTCCTCCACCTGTTTGCACGTCGAGCTGCTTTTACTGCTGGTTGGTGTGAATTTATGGACTGCTGATGTTAACCGTTCTATTTTTACAGCGCCCAGGTTTCCTGTAATTTATTACCACCAATGTGACACAGAAAACTCACACCCTAAGGAGATTTAGAAATAAATTCTGGAAACAATTCAAAGACTCATGTCTCATAAAAACGATGCCTTCTGGAAAGTAACATAACTCCTTTAATTAGTTATTATATTATTGCAGTTAATGATGTGAGTAGTTGCAGGTGGCTTGGCTTTGTTAACATACTCTTTTACACCTAATGAGCTCTTTTTATTTGACCAAAGACATCAGCTCTCAATAATCTGAAACAGGTTTTTAGTGCATAATTATACGAGCTGTTTTCCTCCACACTTCTTCGTTTAAACTGCTTCTCCTTTGTGTCTCAGGGTCTGGGCTGCGATGAGTACCTGGGATCAGGAAAGGTGATGGACAGGTGCGGTGTGTGTGGAGGAGAAAACACAACCTGCAGGCTCGTCTCTGGAGTCTTCAAACACAGTTTAACGAAGATCGGCTACCACAAGATAGTGGAGATCCCCGAGGGAGCCACCAAGATCAACGTGACAGAGATGGTGAAGAGCAGGAACTACCTAGGTGGGAAAAACACTTATTAATTTATCAAGATTCAGTATTTAGTGAACTGAGTGACTGATGAATAGACTGGACAAAAGGGCTGACTGGATGCTTTGAAAAATGTAAAAGATGGTTGTTTATTCCATACAGTTAACTTACTAAATGTCGACTCAATTATTTCCTAAATGAACGCAAAAACCAAGCGATTGTTACACGCTGCCAACAAATCAAGGTCTAAAGACTTTTCACTTCAATAGGCCACATCTCTAGGCTGCAGCAGCTCTCCAGAGGGGTTTGTTCATACATCATTCATAGCCTGAATTATACTAGGGCTGCTCGATTATTGCAAAAATCATAATCTCGATTATTTGGGTCAATAATTGATATCACCATTATTAAAAAACGATTATCCATTTACTTTGAAAACATTAGTTGATTACCCTGAACTTGAAGTTTAATTCAACTGAAAAACCAATACAAAATTCATAATAATAATAATGAAAAATAATCGTTTTATTTCGATTACGTTGTTTTCGTAATCGTTGCAAGCCATTATCGTAATTGCGATTAAAATACGATTAATTGAGCAGCCCTATGTTATACCTAAAATAGATATTTTACGGCTGTTGACAGTATTTTCTGATTTATGGAGTGATACAAAGAGATATCCAAAATCCCTTCTGTAGAAACTTTAGATTATAATATGACTACAAAAGGAAACAAGAATTTTAAACCTGACTTTATCCAATGTTCAGGTTTGTGTTCCTGAAATGTTTAAATATATTTAATTAAATAATGGATAATTTGCATATTTAAACATGTTCTTTCAGAAAACTTGTAATATAAAAAACAATTGTCTTAATGTAAGTAATTAACTGGAGACATGTCTTGCTAATATATTTAAGTTAAAACAATTACCCAATTCACCTGTAGTGTCTCGCCTTAAGTGCTCATAATGAATAGATGAAAACACACGACACAATCTCATGCTGTAAATGATAAATGAATACAAACTATGGAGATTTCTGCCGTATAGAGCTCTGCCTTTTCTCAAACTAATTATACAAACTTATTGGCACTTCTCTTGAGGTGCACAAAGCGCCAATACATATTATATGCTGACAAAAAGGTATTTATACGTAGCTAAGACAGGTACCTCCTTCTCTCAAAACTATTACCAACACAATCTACGTTGATAAATAGCCGTGGCGCTTTAAGAGGTTCTCTCACCTGAGAGCTGTCATCACTTTAGTATTATTCTGTCTCTGTACAATTTCAAAAGCCATCCCCAGCATCTATCTGTGAGAGTTTCGCCTCCATATGCAGAGATTGTAAAAGTACACACATCCTTTGCTCAAGTAAAAGTGAGCAGTAAGTAGATGAAAAGTAAGTATACCAGAAAGTACAGGTATTTGTGTTCAAAATGTAAGAAGTAAAAGTAACAAGTCGTCAGAAATATAAGAAGTGGAGTAAAGTAGTGATACCAGAAAATGTACTTAAGTACAATAACAAAGTATTTGGACTCCACTACTTCCTACCTCTGGTCATATGTCTCTCTGCTAAATGTTTTCTTCTGAAGGAGTGATAACGTCAGGACTTCGACGCCAAGTATCAACACTGAATTTATTTTACATTCAGACAATAATCGACTCAACATGGGTTGGCTAAGTGAACTGCAATTTGGAAAAACCCATCAGGGATTCTTGTCCTCTCCTTGCTCTCTGTCTTCAAGTTTCTCCGCAGCATGTTAGTGTGTTAAAATCATTTCTAACAAAAGCACTGAGAGCATAAGTTGAAGTGAGAACACATTGTTTTACTCCCTGTTGCCAAGCAGTCTGAGCAGTTAGTAATGCGAATCAGAAAGACTTATCTCAGCCCTATTTCAAGTCACTCTGCATTTTTATCGAGAGTAATAGAAAGTGACAGTTTTCATGGCGAGTTCTGCCTCAGCTCAAAACACATGTAGAAGGAAGAGGAATCCCTGTCCACTGCATGTTACACATTACATATATCTGGCAATACAAAGTCAATGGTAAGTAATGGTAGAAATAATTAAATGATAAGTGTGTGATTCGTTGACATTTGACAATTCCACATTTCCAGCTGTGCAGGCAGCAGCAGTAGCTTGTGAATGAATTAGATCGGTCTGATAAAAACGCACGTTGGGCAGTATCAGTTCCCTCCCCCCCCCCCCCATCAGTTTCCCCCACCCCCCCCCCCACCCCACCTCAGCCTTTCACTGAAGCCCCAGACCTCAAAGAAACACCACACAGATAATTGCCGTCATTACTTGCAATGCTAGGACACATTAGTGGGTTATTTCCAAAAGTGTCTGCTTTAATGTCAGACATTGTTTAATGGGAGCGATGCCAAGACTCCGTATGGCTGCTTCTCTCGAGGAAAGTGTATTAGGCCTCACCATTCTTTCTAATGAAAGTTGGAAAATGTGACCACTGTTAAAAAAAGGACGAGAAAACACTACCTTTCAAACACCAACTGCATTCGAACGTTTTCTTTAATCTGATGTGACCATTCATACACACACAAGAACACAGAGTTGTGAACAGCCACACATGTACAGTACGCCTACATTTGCACATCAATGATATTCACATTCTAACTTAGAGTAAGTTATGTCCCCCCACACCTTCCTTTTGTCTGGAAGGTGTGGGGGGACATAAGCACAAGAAAAGTGTGTATGTGTTTGTGTGTGTGTATGTGTGTTTGTGTGTGTGTGTGTGTTGAACATAATACACTCAAACCCATTCATTTCCATATGGCGGTCAATTCTGACTGAAAACTTCATGGGTGTTTCACTGTTGAATAAATAACTAAATGCAAGTGGTGATCATCAATTGCATATTTTCAGAGGCGTAGTGTGGAGGATAACATAAGGTCTTGAGGCACTTGGATGAAAAACACAATATTTATGATGAAAAACAAAGTCACTCGGTCACTTTTGACCCGAAACGCAAGAGAAGGGTAAAGTAGATTTGTTTGAAAAAGCTAATGTTTTTTTGGGTGTAAATTAGGGCTACACGATATTGGAAAAAACTGACATTGCGATTTTTTCCCCCTGCGATATGAAAACATACAGGAATTGAAGAAAAGACCGTTTTTTTTGTCCGCAAACCATCCTTTCTTGAACTTTAATGCGATACAATTGATATTTTTTTAACTATATTTAACCGGATGAAGGATTTTAGTCACGGACGTCTAGATCTTAAGTTATCAGAGCAACAAGCTGAGCTAGCTCGGTTAGCAGCGCCGACCTGCCCTGGAGAAACACATGAAACTACTTTATTCAGTGTTTCTACCTTTAATCACCGGGTCCGTTGGCTTTGGAGATTTGATTGTGATTGGTGGTTTTCTGACAGAGCCTGCATGTCACTCACTCAAGTACCGCTGACATGAGAGCCGCGCAAGTTTTCCTTTTGTAGCAAGCAGCAAAATAATTGTAACATGACGTGTTTGAGTTAATTTGCCTACTTAATATCACACGTCCTTAAAAAAAAAACGATTAACACGTCCACGCGATGTGAATAACGCGCATATCGCGATTATCGTCACAACACGATATATCGTGCAGCCCTGGTGTAAATGAACTCTACCAGACCAGGGAGAATGTGATGTCACAAATAAAGCGCTTCACATACAATACTAAAATACTGTACTTTGAGCATGATATTAGACTTGATAATTACTTATGAGATACAATCAAAAATATTAATTAATATTTTTTTCCAACATTCCAGTCAGAATTGTTCCATTAATTGTTCATGTACTAATGCAAACTAGGAGACATGGCAGTAGTCTAGCAGCAGCCACAGTGTTTCCTCCCACTCTTTCCCCTCAATAGGCCTCTGTTCTCACTGTGCATCTCTAATGTGCTCTGAGTTGTCCAAACACTTCTTTACAAGCCGGTCTAACGTTACACTCCTAATGCTTTTCTAATGGCGCCTTGTCCTTAATCCATGAAATCGGTGGAAAAAGTTTAAAGGGGATTTTGTTTCAGGATTTGCATGCCAGCACAAACAGGACATTTCTTTAAAAGTGCACGAGCGAGCATTTATTCTGTTACTAATTTGGGTGCAGAATGACCGTATCAGAGCTTTGTTACACAAATGTTTTACCTTGCTTCTCATCAATGGTTTTACGTTAAACAATAATTATGTGGAAGTGGCTTTGTGGGTATTTCCCTCTTCATTAGAGTCGGGTGTGATGTGTGGTTTCTCTCCAGAGGTGGGGAGTAGTGGATTACAAATACTTTGTGACTGTAATTAAGTACATGTTTCTGGTATCAGTACTTTACTCCACTACTTATTTTTCTGACGACTTTTTACTTTCTACTTCTTACATGTTGAACACAAATACCTGTACTTTCTACTTCTTACATGTTGAACACAAATACCTGTACTTTCTACTTCTTACATGTTGAACACAAATACCTGTACTTTCTACTTCTTACATGTTGAACTCAAATACCTGTACTTTCTACTTCTGTTTGAACACAAATACCTGTACTTTCTACTTCTTACATGTTGAACACAAATACCTGTACTTTCTACTTCTTACATGTTGAACTCAAATACCTGTACTTTCTACTTCTTACATGTTGAACACAAATACCTGTACTTTCTACTTCTTACATGTTGAACACAAATACCTGTACTTTCTACTTCTTACATGTTGAACACAAATACCTGACTTTCTACTTCTTACATGTAGAACACAAATACCTGTACTTTCTACTTCTGACATGTTGAACAAATACCTGTACTTTCTACTTCTTACATGTTGAACTCAAATACCTGAACTTTCTACTTCTTACATGTTGAACACAAATACCTGTACTTTCTACTTCTTACATGTTGAACACAAATACCTGTACTTTCTACTTCTTACATGTTGAACACAAATACCTGTACTTTCTACTTCTTACATGTTGAACACAAATACCTGTACTTTCTACTTCTTACATGTTGAACACAAATACCTGTAATTTCTACTTCTTAAATGTT